GTATAAAAGTTTACTGTCTCCAAGGAGGTTTCAATAAGTCCTTACGTAAAACTTAAATTTACGCCGCGTTCCAGAGAGGGACATAAAAAACTTCTCTTTTGGTGAATAATTTGTTGTTACTGCTTTGAAAATAATTTCATTTACTTAAAACTATATATTTATTAAAGTATTTCTTAGGAAAAATTTTCTAGTATAGCAGAATATAAGAAATAAGGAGAAAAAGCTCCCCAAGACTCTAAGTATGGCTTGTTCTGTCAACTAATATTCATGGTAAAGTCCTATTTCAAGGAAATTTTTTCATAAAATGTATTTTGGAGACTCAATCCACTCAGAATATTTCATTATTTGTAATATTTCACTTAAATAGCAAAAAATTTTAACACATGAGAGTACTCACAAGGTCAAAGGTGCATGTACAGCTTCCCATATTAGGTGTAATACCACCATTGATTTTCCCCTATTAGTCTTTGTTAAATTTGCACTCTTCAAAAAATTGTGCAGAATTTATCTTTGTTTCAAATAAAGAAATACTTGGCATGAGTAAAGTTTTATCCTGTCCAGTACTATAGAAAAAATTTCACATAACATTTCATTGCATATAAGAAAATAACCATCACTGGAAGTTAACCAATCAAATTTTCCCCCTTTTTTAACCTGTGTACAAGCTTTAGTAACCATGTAACCTCAAGTTTCCAAAATATTCTATAGAAACCCCAAATAAAGAAATAATGGTGCTTTGAAATACCCAAGATATATGTTTATGACTCAGAAATGTTTTACTGCAATGAAATGTAGGATCAATTACCTACAACTGTCAAATTCAAGGGAATATTTTTTTTCGACCTATTTTCGTATGCAACCGGATGTGACGTACTATGATTTGGTGGTATTACACCTTAATGCCCCTTCGTCTTGCGGCGGGGACATAAAAAATGTATTAATGACTTGATTTATTAACTATCTAAGGTTGAGAATTAAAATTTAAATTAATTCCATTGCTGCATTTAATTTTTTTTTTAAATAATGTACCTTTAAAAAAAACTGTTAAAATTCCGTTTGTAATAACAATGATAGGCTGTCATGACTGCCTGTCAACACTTGAAGAGCTAATTATTTACATTTGTACATTTTGTGATACTGCCTACTTATTGACCCGGATTTATTGTCCTAAAATACTGTTTGAACAAAACAAGTTATTTAATCTGTACAAATGTTAAAACAGAATAAGTTGTCAATGTGGCATTGGACAATTGAAATTGTACTTCTTCCTCTTTTATATGTTGTCAATGTAAAAATATCTTGAAAATGAATAAATATTGAAATTACATCCTTTTTATGTTCTTTTTAATTTAAAGAGATAACTTTTGTTTGATAGCGATTTGACTTCGCTATGAAGTCAGTTGGCTGGCGAGATTTAGCAATTTTCAAAATTATTTGGCCACTTAAATCGTCATTTCGCCGGCAAGATTATGGCCTGTTCAGGATGACTTAAAAGTTTCAGTCCTAATTTTACAGTCAAAATCATTCATACTAGATTCTTGGCATCAACTAACTTGTATTGACGGTTTCATCTCATTTAACTCATGAAGTTTCTTACCCTTTTTTTCTAAAAACGTTGAAGAAAGATTTATGGAATGCAACAGTTTAAAATCAATATAATTTTAATGACTAAAAACTGTAAATTTCTCAGAAATCAGCAATGCTACTTTCAAGTTTGAAGACGAAATAAAAATGGAAAGTTTCAAGTCAATATACTAAATTATGATCATCATTCTAGATTCATTTTAAGGGATTCATTCTATTTATCAAATGGCAGGAAATCATCTTATTTTTAATATATAATACCTGTAAAAATGTTTGACTATATAAAACTAATAAAAGTTTCACTCATTTAAATTGGCTTTTTGCTTTTTACGATTTATAAGTGTCTAATCTGGTGAAGACAATTTCACACATGGGTATTATATAGAGTAAATAAAATAAAATAAGACTTCATAAAAAATTATGGTTTTCTATGTAAATCTAATAAAAGTTTTAATATTTATATCAAAATTGTCGATTGTCTTTGCTGAAAAGTTATTTAAATGTGAAGTAAGTTGTCATGGAATAGAATTCTTTATTATATTAGTCTTTAGCTTGATCACTACTGTCGGATGTGAAACATGCAAGTAAAAAATTATTAGCATCATTAGCCAGTATCTGCCATAGGCATAAACATGGAAATATTAACCCTCAGGATTATCATACTTTTCTAAAGTTTTATTATCATAAAAGCATTTCAAAACAATATTAATGCCAAATGGTGATTAAGACACCCAATCTCAATAAAAAGACCGGAATTATTTCTGTAAAAAAAAAATTCTTCATCTAAAACCCCAATCTTTATAGAACTGGTAGACTTTTCTATAATTTTGATATAATTTGTTCCAAAAGTACATTTGTAGTACACAACACTATAAAAATCTTTAGAGAAGATGCAGTTTGGATTTCAATAATTTACATTTATTGTCAAAAAGAATGGCACTACGAAATAACTACACCTTGACCTAAGAGATATATTCAGTAATATCGAATCTGTACATGTACTTTGGTAACATCCCTGAATCGTCAATTGATCAAACAGAATGAAATGTCAGGATTAACCCCTTTATTTGATATAATTAATGCTGTAAAAATGTCTCATTTTGGCATTACAAAATGTAAATGGTCAAAGGCTTATTATATATCAAATTTTATTAATCATTTGTGAACTGTGAATCTAGAGAAAAGTAGATTGTTGCAGAAAAGGTGAGCGAAATGTGTTGAATGAAAGGCCTTGGTGGAAAGACCTGTTAAAAACAAGTTAAATGTCAGGAAAAATGTAAACCAAAATTTAAGTCCATATAAATACTTCACTAAATCTGTATAAAAAACACTTTAAAACATTTGATTAGTTCTATTGCATTCAGACTTCTTCAATGTATCATGACATCTTAGCACCACAGATTAGAAATGAGCAAAAACAAACTAAATTTCTATTTCCAATAGCTTCTGTATGCATTTTTATGTGTAAATTAAATGTATGTGTCAGACCCAAAATAATTTCCAGTCTTACAGGTCCCAAGACCATTTTATACTCATGTGGTACAAAATGTATGCTATTTCTAACGTCTTTCACCTTAAAGTACATTAAATATATATGGAAAGATAATTTATAACAAAAAAACTTCACAAATTTAATTCAAAGTGGAACAAATTATATTCTGGACATTAGACTACAGATTTGGGACAACCCCCAAAATGGGAAACTATTCCCAAAATGAGTAACAATTCCTCAAATAAGCAATTATTTGATAGTGCTAAAAACAAAATTTTCTAAGCTGGGTCTTTTTGCTTAAAATGGCACAATCTTATAGAAAATGGAACAACTTCTTCCAAAGAACCATATTTTTATTTTTGGTTTTAACAAAGTGAGTACAGTAGACTTGAAAATTGTAAATCTTTGGAAGTTCTAATACCAAGACCCCGTTCACACTATCATTTTTTTAATCGATCTAAATAAAACCAGTTAGCGTTCACATTATCTTTAATCCTATATATAACTATCTCTATCGTTTTAATCTGAACCACTGTGTTCACACTGCAATTAAAAATGCAATCAATATGACCTAATTACCCATGAAATTGTAAACACTGTGTATAAATAGAAATATTTAATCAAATTAATGTGTTGATACACATGCTTGTTAAAAAATAATGTATGAAGTTATTGGTTCACCTGAATTACAAGTTCAAATGTTGATACCGCTGTTCGTATAGTTTTCATTAATTTTCAGCCCTTTTTATGGTGGTCATTCATTTTGTAATAAATTGAATGTGTAATTTTGCCGCCATTCATGCACACAAATTAATTTCGATTCAATCGTACCAGTTAAAATCGATCTCTGCGTTCACATTTAACGTTAGATCGGTTCACTTTAGATCGATTCAAACTAAACTACATCTTTTGGTGTTTTAGTTTAGACCTATTAAAGATCGATTCAATGCATTCACATTGGGCTAAGTATTAAATCAATCTAAAGTGAACCGATCTAGTTTAAATTGATCTAAATGTTCAAGTGTGAAAGGGGTCTAAGACAGTGCAAAAAAAAGTTACTTCAGTAAATCAAATCAAGGCTATTTCATCTTTTGGAAACATAATGCTACATTTTTCTTGAATATGTGCCATTTCAAGTATAAAATGTTTATTAAAAACAAAATTCAACAACAGAAAAGTATCCCTCATTTGAGGGATAGTTACTCATTTTAGGAACTATTCCATTTGGTGGTTTGTCTCCAACCTGTATGTGACCCCTTCATTTGAAAATCTCTATTTTCAGACACAGGCTCAAATACATTTGACTTCTGAATAATTTGTCCCAATACATGCAAAAGTACATTTTTTGTACATTGCTAAAAAAAAATTGGACATAGGATAATTAATTTGAAAAGACAAAACATTATACATGTACAGAGGCGAATTTATATTTTAGTGGGGCCCCTTTTTCAAAATCCTGGATCCACACCTGATGTATGATTACAATGAACATATAGCATGTATAGAAACTGTGAGAAGTTACTTCATATTTAAGATTTGTTTATTTCTTGATAATTTCTGTATCATGGCACAGATATCATATGACAACTAGTATATTATGTATAAATGATTATGTCATATTCAGAATTTAAAAGAAATACTCAATTAAATGTCTGCATATCCATATTTCATTATTTGTATTGTAATGTTCTACTAATACCTCGTAAGACATATGAGCCAGAGGGAAGGGTTGAATCAAAAACAACAACAAAAACATTGTGTATGAGTCCATATCATTTGAAAAAAAATCAAATGTGTAGGATATTTTACATCAAAACACCTTTTTTTCGATAATCCCCTTGGCCTTGTACATGTACATGTCGTACACACAAACATTCGGACGTTCGCTGTAACAGTCATTGAGAACACTATATAGATATCTCACCTCTGCTGTAACAAGATTTCCTTCTACACGTTTTCCATGTGAAAATTCTAAACATATTGATGATAAAGTCAAAATAAAAACAACAACAAAGTGGCACATAATCTCAGCAAATTCGCAGAAAAATGTGACTTCCGGCCAGCAGAGATTACATCATGTGACCGAGTTGCTATGTAACAACGTAAATTTATCAAACCGCGGGAACATTAAAACAGGTGGTTCTTGTTATATATGGTCATATATGGGATCATATATTAATATATATTAAATCTGAGAATTTCTATACACAAAATATGCTCAAAATAAGAATGCAATTACGTTGCAAGACAGGAAAGATCGAAATTTAAAATATGAAAACTATTCAGTTACCTTTTTATCGGAGATAAAATTAAACTTGCAGACAAGTATAAATACTTGTAAATTTGCGAAAACAATGGCCTTTTACCACCCTTTTATATTGGACTATTATACAAAAATAGTCCCGGCTTTTGCTAATCCTTAATTTTAAGGCAGTTGCCATTTTGTCGGCGCCTGAAAAATAGAAATTTGATATTTTGCCGGGTTTGATTAAAATATCTTAATTAACTTTAAATAAATAAAACCGGTAAAATGGCTATTTTGCTAGGGCCGGCAATATAGTGAATTTGCTAGTTTGCCGGTTCTTTTTAAAGCGTCAATTTAATATTTACTTTTTGAAAAGTACTACGAAAATGTGCATTGTCAACACAAAAGAAGAATCAAATTATAACTCATGTAGTTAAATAAGATAACAGTAGACTAACAATATTTGAGATACATATAATCATTTAAAAACATTTATTAGTCCAAATGAAAATAAGAATTTGTAAAAAGAAATAAAAGTAAAAATATTGAATATTCATTTGAAGCAATGAAATCATATCAAAATATGTAGTTGAAATTACTTTAAAAATCAGTCACAGTCTGATGTTTAATGTATGCATAGAGCTCTGATGTATGCATAAGAATAAAATCTCAAAATTTTGAACTGTATGTTGTAAAAAATAAAAGTTAAAAATCTCATTGCATATAAATTTCATAAAACATTATACAATCTAGCAAAATCAATCACATAGCTTCAAAATCAAAAATGTTTAAATAAAATTTGCTTTTGAAATAATAATAAGTTCTTTGATTGCATATCTTTAAACAATATCCTTTTTACTGGCAAAAATGGCTTCCGTATACATAGAATATTTTCTATTTTGCCGGCGCAGGCAAAATATCCACTGCTTACTTTTAAAGTAGATGTGACATGATTTTTATTCAGCCAAAATGTTTTTATTTAAGAATTGAATGCTTCTTTTTGTAAATTTATTGGGGTGTAAAAGCGTTGACCGAAGTACATTTTGTATGAAGCGCGGAAGTGCTTCATTCTAAAAATGTCCGCACGGCCAACGCTTTTACGACCCTATACAATTACTAAAAGAAGCATTCAATACTTATAATTACATTTTTTTGCTAGGATCATGAAAACACGTTTTCTATTAAGTTTTTCTTTTATTTACCTATGCACGTTATTGTGGAAGCTCGTGTCATCATGAATGTTGCATTTAATTTTGAAATGAAGGTTGATTTCAGAACGATGCGAGATTGCTGTTCGCCAATCAAAATAACATATTACAATGAAACATACATGTAATATAATTATTCATACATATCTACCCCCAGAAATACATTGATATCAATACAAGTGTCAATTAAATGGTTAAAATATGTATTTAAATGTATCGACCTATCGGCTTACTTTTGACATGTGTATGTAAGCCTTAAACCTATGCCCAGCCCAGGGTCGGGGGGTTGGGGGGATTCTCAACATGGGATTTTGGGTACAGACGTGCAGATGGGAATTCAAAAACACCTCTCATTCATATATAATGAAGTCTTGTCAGAAAACGGCGCGACCCATAAATCATCAAATATTTCATAGCAAAATCATTACTCAGATAGTTCTCAATTATCCCCTATACAATTTTGACATCTTAATTCTATTTGAAACGATAAAACAGTATGTTGTACAAAAATCTAATCGAAAGATGAAAATTACTGACCCACTGCTAGCGGTTCAACGAGGATGAAGCAAACATGAGAATGAAGAGGCCGAAGCGAGAGTCAGGCGGAGAGTACGAAAGGAAGGGGGATATAGAACATGGAAAAGAGTAAACAATAGCGATATGCTGGTAAAAATTTTGACCGATTCCCATTTGGGAGTAAGGGGGAGGGAATTTGGAATCATGGACCCCCTGCCAAGTTCACCCCCTCTACATAGGTCTTATACAGTTTCTCGCACGTTTTTTTTTTTTTTTTTTTTTTGGGGGGGGGGGGGGGGTTGTTTAATAAGTAAAAAGTTTTTTTTATTAGAATTGTTATTGGCTTTGAACTAGCTTTCAGTAAATGCGAGTCTCTCAGATCTTTACTGTGCGTCTTTCGTGTTTTTGTTAGTTGTTTATGTGTTTTCTATCGACCCTTTCCAACTGATTTGTATAGTCTGTTCTTATGTTGAGCTGTCACAAAACGGCCCCAAATAAGGGAAAGCTTGAGCGCTGTGCCCTCGACGCAATCTATATGTACCTGTCTCAAGTCACGACACTTTATCAAAAAAAGAATATGGATTTGAATTTAAAAGGGGACAAAAATTTAAGTGTCATGACGACACGGGACACCGACCTGAGGAAAGGAAAAATGTTTGAATCTTGACAAAGGGCACCGATTTAAGTGTCATGACGTCACGGGACACAGATCTGTGGAAAGGACACAGATTTGAGGCTGCACATAGATTTTACTCTCTTCATGTATATGGGTCCTAATTTCACAAGACTTCAATATTTGCATTGTGGTGATTTTGAAATCTAAGCTGAAATGTCCGTGTCCACATCGGATATGTTTAAAGGGCAATGCACAGTACATGAATGATGTAGTGTGCCCGGGCATGTAACCTTGCAGGTCAGTATTTTTTGTCGATCGTTAAGGATACGATCTACTTACCATGCAGTCACATCAATATTATTTTATTGTACTTTTAAATGTGTGACAACTTTACTACAGACATTCCCCATCGTATAACCAAGGGTTATACAGTGGCATACACCACAATGTGTATAATATACTTCGTCTGAAATAAACCCCAACAATATGTTAGAACTGCAAAGTGGTACCACGTGTATGTGACACTTAAAGTCATTTAACTGAAAACACAACTTGATAGATTACTAGATTGGATAGATTATAATATATTGGGTATTTGCATTCAATAAACCAAAATCGTGACTTAAATCACGTCACATACAGTAACCTATGCATTTACCCAAGTATTTGAACTTGTGATAAGAAAATACATATAAAACAGGATTTGAATTAAAAGTTCAAACCATTCTTATATCTTGATCACCAACAAATAATTTATTATATATGGCTCTTATCTGCATGTAAATCTTATTTTGTAACATACATAAAAGGATTTGTCGTGTAGTCGTGTATCAATGAGGAAGAAATCCGTACATCCTAAAATAGAGACATCTGTAGTATTCAAAAATACATGTTCTCAATGATAAGCAAGTATCTTAACCAATGACAAGGTCTAAATCGCACCGAGCCTAAAAAAGTTATAGATATATCCAACAGAGACTACTACCTACATTCTGCCATCGATCCCAAATTTCGTATGACCCCTTATAATCATTAAACAATAATTAATTAGAGATTTCGGACTTGGGGCAAACAGTTGAATTCACATAATTCTGCTTAGACGAAAATAAAACCAGGCGCAATGGATATAGTAACAATAGCATATTAAGATCTTCTGTTATGGTAATACTGTATATAAAAAAAACTTCTTAAACTATTGAGATTGAAGAATGAGAAAAATATAGAATTGGGTTAACACAAGTAAGTGTATATAGAATTATATTCTCACGTAATAAATAAATTCGTGACGGTACGATGATTTAATTGATCGTGATCAAACTCTACATTACGTGACCCTAATTTAAAATAAAGTTTTTCTTTAAGTAAACAAAAATGATTCGATATATTATATAATGGGTTTTTATTCTATTCAAACACAACTAATAGACAGCATATTTATACCGTTTATGTCATTCTTAAGAATGTTATTCAATAAAAGATATTGAGAGGCTTAAATAACTCGTTATGAATTTATGGCGATATATAATAGAATGTTACTATATGTAGCTAATCACTCAACGTAGTAGGATTTTCAATGATAAAAAATCTTTTTGTTCTCACAAGGAACTAACTTCATTCTGAAAACTTTACAACGTGACGAAAAGATTTAAAAATAATTATTTGTATAATTAACCGTTACAAAACAAAGAATAAATTATCATATGATTAGGAAATGAAAAAATGGCAAACTTATATTTAACAAGCATTCTGAGAGTATTACATGGCAATACATAGTCCCATACCAGGTAAAAATTCATTATACTGGAACAAAATGCTAACTTGTTCTATAACTTGTCATGGTGTAAACAAAAAGAAAATATCATCTCAATATCTTCAAGCATGACTAAAAACAGTGTTGAAAACTGATTATATGAGTGAATTTTTGAAGTCCAAGGACCATAACTCTGCACAAAATTATTAGACCGAAACAAAAATTTGAACTTGATCTGTAACTTGTCATGATAAAACTATATACCAATTATCAATCAATATCTTATAAGCATGATGAAAAAACATTAGATATGATTAATAGTTCTCTAGAATTAGATATGATGTAAAACAGTGTATATCTATTTCAAATTATAATCAGATATAATTAAAAGTTTCAAATATTTTTTTCTTTCATTTGTCACAAACTAATATAGATTTGTAACTTATCTATAAAATGTCAACAACTTTTATCTACACAATGTAATGTATTGAAATATATACATTAATAAAAATAGATTATTATCTAATTAAAGGATTTCTCTTCATAATTTTTTTTGATATATATAGCATTCAGAAAATTAGTTTATACTAAATAACAAACAAACCTGTCAAAAAATTCTTCAAATAATTTAACAAAGAATGTCTTTTAAAAAATGAGTTATCTCCCTTTGTACAGAAATATGGTTTAACATAGTACTCTAACATTAGATATGGTCCAGAGTTATGGTCCA